TATGCAACCGGGCCCTGGTTCTTGAGAGGCGAGGTAAGTTAAAACGGTTAAGTATTAAACTTTTCAACGGTCCTAACACTGAACCTTGAATTTTCGCGGTCCTTTCCAAAAACTGTTGAGGATCTCTTGTTTTCAAAAAAACTTTGGGATTAGATAATCTTTACCAAGTGACCCGGTTCAAGTAGCCGCACCGTAAATTTGCGGCTTGGGTACTGGCTTGCAACTGGCCTCGATGAACCTAACTTTCACTTGATGAGTTGCGCTTTTACCAGCCTCCAAAGACTGAAGGCCAACCTGTTTAACCGACCCTCGCCGCTTTCTTGAGAAATATCTAGGACTGAATCAGAGTCAAAATTAGCTTTATATCTCTGTCTGGACCTGCTTCGACTGACTTCTCCGCTTAGAACGAATAGCAACTGTCAGGCGATTTGGTAGAAAAGTCTGGGGGCGACCCGCAGCTGTTAAAAGACCTCAAGGGATTGGCTGAGAAAACAATGACAACAAAGTTTGCAATAGAACCTGGCTCGAAAACAAAAGAACTGCGACCATAAAGGTCCTATTAAATCATAGGTTCTGAAGTCCTGCTAGGCTTCTGAATTTAGAATGTTGTTTCGGACTGAAAGGCTCTTTTACACTTGGCAGTGTTGTTATATATATAAAGTATAAAGTCAGGTTCTTGTCGTTTACAGAGTAGCGTCCCTCGTGGCATATAAATCAGGTACGTTTTTTTGACAGGTGAGAGTGCAGTGAACGTAAAATGGCGGAGACTAGCTTTCGAAAACAAGGCGCAGGACACTGATACAAGTCGGGAACATGCACAAAACCGAAGACCTGCTCCATATAACCGGAGAGGTAATGGGACTACACCTATATTAGCTACTTGAATTTCGGTTAATGTATTCAGCATATTTAGAATTAAATTTCTTACACGTGACGAAGGAATGCACTGATGCCACAATCAAATATATAGAAGGTCTAGTAAGATAGGCACCATTATAGTCGATTAAGTTTAAGTATCGTTAGTTGGGAAAAACAAAAGGAAACGAATCCGCATGACTTGGCTTTATTGACCACACTGCGTTACAGTCTATAAAAGTTACTTAATTAAATGAATGAGATAATCATATTTTAAGTCTTATTTTTAATGTGATGCCTTTACAAAATATATGTTGCGCTTGACGCTCAACCTTGCGCTTGCTCTTGCTGGCTGAAAAAATAAAGCAAAACAAAAAACTTTTTAAATGACTTAATAATTCTTCAATGTATGTTATTGACGATCAAGTCATAATCAAGGATTGTAGCAGTTCGCGTTTCAGGGAGTCCGCATCAACCACAATACACAACGGTTTTTCTGCACACCACGATTCATAGACAACAAAAATCTTAGATCACGGGGTCACAAAAATAAGTCCCCCGCCCCTCTTCCCTCCCACTGCCTGTTAAAATACAGCGTATGGACAAACATATTTAAGCATTTTTCTTGTATCTATATGTTTGTCTATCTACCCAGGTTTGCACCAGAGCAGTAGTAAGGAAAATTCACAAGGACAAGCATCAGGCAGGAGCCTTAATCGGGGTACCTCAATTATACCCCCTGCTTCAGCTCAACTAACATTAACACCAGCTCAAGAAAAAGAAGATAACAACAGCCAAGAACAAGCAGCCAAAGCCGAAATTGAAAGCACAGGTAACAAGATTTATTAAGAACCGTTTACCAGCTAAGAATATTTTTACTTTTTTTGTTTGTTTTAAGGAAAGCATTGTTTGCTCGTTGTTTTTTATCCATATTACGTTTTGGCTTTTGTGGGTGAATTCAGCTGAACTTTCAGGGCGTTCCTTTTTCTGGATGCAAGATCGTATAAATTGCCATTAACATTGCGAGTGAAGTGTATACCTGTTAAGAGGTTTCCAATGTGAGGTATATTCGATCAAATGCGAGACAAAAGCCCAAGCCTTCTTAAGTTTTCACGCTAGTTCAAGGAGCAGAACCTGACCCAGTATTCAGTGAGACATTGTTTGCCAGATGTATTTCAGTGTGAGTACTCGAATCGGGGCACCTGGAAGTAGACTATCCAATCACAACGTTTTTTAAAAACAAAATATCCTCAAGGTTTTTTGCAAACGGACCAATTACATTAAAAATTTTGAGGCCTGCCTCCTGATAGGCGGGGTAAGTTAAAACAGTTAAATATTAAGCTTTTCAACGGTCCTATAGCTTAACCTCGAATTTTAGTAGTCCTTTGCAATAAATAAATAAATAATAATAAAATAATTATGAGAATCCCCTGTTTTCAAAAAAACGTTAGGATTAGATCATCTTTTCCAAGTGACTCGGTTCAAGTGGTCGCACTGTAAATTTGCGGCTTGGGTGCTGGCTTGCAACTGGCCTTGATCAACCTAACTTAATTTCCCTTCATGAGTTGCGCTTTTACCAGCCTCCAAAGACTGAAGGCCAACCTGTTTAACCGACGCTCGCCGCCTTTTTGAGAAATATCTAGGACTGAATCAGAATCAAAATTAGCTTTATAGCTCTGTCTGGACCTGCCTCGAGTCTTCTCCGCTTAGAACAAATAGCAACCGTCAGGCGATTTGGTAGCAAAGTTAGGGGGCGACCTTGCAGCTAGCTGTTGAAAGACCTCACGGGATTGGCTGAGGAAACAATGACAACAAAGTTTACAATAGAACCTAGCCCGAAAACAAAAGGGCTGGGACCATAAAGGTTCTATTAAATCAGAAGTTCTGAAGTCCTCCGAGGCTTCTGAATTTAGAATGTTGTTTTGGACTGAAAGGCTCTTTTACACCGGGCAGTGTTGTTATATATATAAAGTATAAAGTATAAAGTCAGGTTTTTGTCCTTTACAGAGTAACGTCTTACAGTTGTACTGTCGCAATTTGGAATAATCATCGCCCTTTGTTAAACCCGTAGAAATTTGTAATAAATCCATCGTACTTTGTAATGCCTGTTGCAATTTGTAATAAACCATGTCGCACTTTGTAATAAAAAAGCTGTCCCAATTTGTGATAACTGTCCATCGTACTTTGTAATAAACTAAGCTGTCGCAATTTGTAATAGTTCCATCGCACTTTGTTATCGACCGAAATCTTTTTCTTTGGTCAAACATGCATGTCTTCCGTTATAAATTTTTCTGCCTTGATCAATCGCGTGACCAACGAGAATCGCTTTTATGAAAGACATGAAACTTTAACTTGTTGGCTTTGTGTCTTTGGTTTGATCCTTAGATAGGGTAACTCAAGTAGTAATGGATGGTTTATTATCCTTTCGATTTTATGGAAAAAAGTAATCCTGAACACACTCGGAAGAATTGCAAGGTCTTACGAGTTGTACGCACACGGTATTTGCTTTATTAGAGGGCCCCATAGAAAAAAATTGTTTTAAGATAGAATGAGGACTTCCTTTGTTCAAATCAAGAGAGAATAATGGACCAAATGGCCAGCCGGCTCAGTATGACCCCAAAAGTGTTAAATATGGAAACAACTATAATTACTTCTTTTAAGATTTCGCGTTCAAGGACGGTGTGGTGTCGACCTGCTATAAGATCTAAAAAGAAAAGCTTGAACTTTCCTGGTGCCCTTATTCGAATGATGTAAGGATGGATGTTACGATTTGTGCAAATTAAATGCATTTTAATAATGGCTAGTTTGCGTCTTGTGTGTCTAGATTCTGTTCTCTAACAGTGCTCTGTCCGGTGGCACATCTCCATATTGGCCATCTAAGGGAGTATGCCCTCGCCCGGGTAACCATTGCACGCAAACTACTTAGTACAATAGCAAGGTTTAAGAACACAGAAGTTTGTAAGTCAAATAACTAATCAACATTGATTTAAAAAAATGTTTAGAGCTATGAATAAAGTTAAATGGCTTGAATGAACGGAGATACTTTGTAAATTATCTATTTAAGTAATTTTGTAAGTTACGTGCTTGCAGACGTCATCATCTTTGTTAAGTTTATGAGGTACCGTTCATATTCTGGTATCACATTAATGTTGACGAAGTATTAGTTGAATCACTCTCAAAAAATTATTACAAAGTGCGATGGAATTGTTACAAATTGCGACAGCTTAGTTTATTACAAAGTGCGATGGGCAGTTATTACAAGTTGCGACAGCTTTTTGATTACAAAGTGCGACATGATTTTTTACAAATTGCGGCAGGTATTACAAATTGCGACAGAACGTCCCTCGCAGCATATAAATCACGTACGTTTCTTGACAGGTGAGAGTACAGTAAACGTAAAATGGCGGAGACTAGCTTTCGAAAACAAGGCGAAGGACACCGATACAAGTCGGGAACATGCACAAAACCGAAGACATGCTCCATATAACCGGAGAGGTAATGGGACTACACCTATATTAGCGACTTGAATTTCGGTTAATGTATTCAGCATATTTAGAATTAAATTTCTTACACGTGACGAAAGAATACACTCATGCCACAATCAAATATATAGAACGTCTAGTAAGATAGGCACCATTATAGTCGATTAAGTTTAAGTATCGTTAGTTGGGAAAAACAAAAGGAAAAGAATCCGCATGACTTGGCTTTATTGACCACACTGCATTACAGTCTATAAAAAGTTACTTTAAATGAATGAGATATTTATATTTTTAGTTTTATTAATTTTTAATTTGATCCCTCTTTATAAACTATATGTTGCACTTGACGCTCAACTTCGCGCTTGCCCTTGCTAGCTTAAAAAAAAGGCAAAAAATTTTAAAAAGTGTTTATTAAAAGTGATTTAATTTCTTCGAGGTATGTGTATTCACGATTCACAATCAAGGATTGTAGCAGTTCGCGTTTGAGGGAGTCTACTTCAATCACAATACACAACGGTTTTTCAGCACATCACGATTCATAGACAACAAAAATGTTGGATCACGGGGTCCCAAAAATATTTTCCCCCCACTCCCTGTTCAAATACAGCGTATGGGCAAACATATTTAAACATTTTTCTTGCATTTATATGTTCGTGTATCTACCCAGGTTTGCACCTGAGCAGTAGTAAGGAAAATTCACAAGGACAAGCATCAGGCTGGAGCCTTAATCGGGGTACCTCAATTATACCCCCTGCTTCAGCCCAACTAACATTAACACCAGCTAAAGAAAAAGAAGATAATAAAAGCCATGAACAAGCAGCGAAAGCCGAAAGATTTTTATTTGAGAGCACAGGTAAAAAGATTTATTAAAAACTGTTGACTCGCTAAGCCTATATTAACTTTATTTGTTTGTTTTAAGGGAAGTATTCTTTGTTTGTTTGTTTGTTTGTATTTTATCCATATTACGGTTTGGCTTTGGTGGGTGCATTCAGCTGAACTTTCAGGGCGTTCCTTCTTGTGGATGCAAGATCCTACAAATTGCCATTAACATTAGGAGTGAAGTGTCCTGTTAAGAGGTTTCCAGTGTGAGGTTAATAATCGATCAAATACGAGACAATTAAGCCCAAGCCTTCTTACGTTTTTCACGCTGGTTCAAAGACCAGAACCTGACCCAGGATTCAGTGATACATTATTTGCCAGAAGTCAAGTGCAAGTACTTGAACCGGGGCACCTGGAAGTAGATTATGCAATGACAACGTTTTCTAAAAACAAAAGATTCTCAAGGTTTTTTGCAAACGGAACAATAACTTTTAAAATTTGGGGCCTGCTTCCTCAGAGGCGGGGTAAGTTAAAACGGTTAAATATCAATTAACGGTCCTATGGCTGAACCTTGAATTTTCGCGGTCCTTTCCAAACAAAATTGAGAATCTTCTGTTTTCAAAAAAACGTGGGGATTAGATAATCTTTTCCAAGTGACCCGGTTCAAGTAGTCGCACTGTAAATTTGCGGCTTGGGTGCTAGCTTGCAACTCGCCTTAGTTGATGAACCTAACTTTCACTTAATGAGTTGCGCGGCTTTTACCAGCCTCCAAAGACTGAAAGCTAACCTGTTTAACCTACGCTCGCCACTTGACAAATATCTAGCACCAAGAGAGGATAAAGGGGACAGAGAAGGCATCCCCCATACACACCCTATTCTATAGGTAATTTGTCTCGAGTTATTTTTAGAATCGGGATAAAGTTACCTTGCGCTGCGCGGATGTTTCGTGGAGGTTTCGCATGACTAAACGCCGTGCAAAACATGTCGGGCGAAAGGCAATAAAAGCGTAAAGAGATCGAGAACATTTCTGAATATTGAAGCGAAATGAGTCGGCGCTCACCTGGGAAAAGGGAATCGCTGGACTCTTTCACAACCCGTGAAATCAATTTAACTCGAAGTTGTCGTAACCTCAGTGCTTTAATGAAATGTGAAATTTCGTCGGTCTATTGAAACCGGTCGTTTGTACAATGAAGTAAGTAGGACGCCAAGTGTTATTTTTGTTGAATAATAAAAGACTAATAAAAGAATAAATATCAAACCAGAAATTGCTCTCTTCAAACTGTAAATTATAAATGATCCTGAGAGAATATTCAGTGTGTTGAGGATTTCCCTGCTGTACTGTTAACTCTATACAAGAGAGGAAGAGCGATTCTTTTTTAATTTCCGTTTCGCTGACACAGCTTTCGCAGAAATCTATCTTTAGTTGTTTTCGTCGAGAAAACGAATAGCAGTATCACTCTCCGCGTCTTCCACCATTTTTTTCAGCGTCAATTCGTGAAGGACGCGTGGCTCTGAGCGTGGGTCATCCACGCGGAACACATTCGCGCTATGTGATTGGCTGTTGTCTAATCCCCCTTGGGATCTGTGGTCTTAAAAATAACTCGAGACGAATTACCTTTGGAATAGGGTGTGTATGGGGGATGCCTTCTCTGTCCCCTTTATCCTCTCTTGCTAGGACTGAATCAGAATCAAAATTAGCTTTATAGCTCTGTTTGGACCTGCCTCGACTCTTCTTCGCATAGAACGAATAACAACTGCCAGGCGATTTGGTAGCAAAGTCATGAGGCGACCTTACAGCTGTTAAAAGACCTCACGGGATTGGCTGGGAAAACAATGACAACAAACTTTAAAATAGAACCTAGCCCGAAAACAAAAGGGCTGGGACCATAAAGGTTCTATTAAATCAGAGGTTATGAAGTCCTGCGAGGCTACTGAATTTAGAACGTTGTTTTGGACTGAAAGGCTCTTTTACACCGGGCAGTGTTGTTATATATATAAAGTATAAAGTCAGGTTTTTGTCCTTTACAGAGTAACGTCTTACAGTTGTACTGTCGCAATTTGGAATAATCATCGCACTTTGTTAAACCCGTAGCAATTTGTAATAAATCCATCGTACTTTGTAATGCCTGTTGCAATTTGTAATAAACCATGTCGCACTTTGTAATAAAAAAAGCTGTCCCAATTTTTGATAACTGTCCATGATATTTTGTAATAAACTAAGCTGTCCCAATTTTGTAATAATTCCATCGCACTTTGTTATAGACCGAAATTTTTTTCTTTGGTCAAACATGCATGTCTTCCGTTATAAATTTTTCTGCCTTGATCAATCGCGTGACCAACGAGAATCGCTTTTATGAAAGACATGAAACTTTAACTTGTTGGCTTTGTGTCTTTGGTTTGATCCTTAGATAGGGTAACTCAAGTAGTAATGGATGGTTTATTATCCTTTCGATTTTATGGAAAAAAGTAATCCTGAACACACTCGGAAGAATTGCAAGGTCTTACGAGTTGTACGCACACGGTATTTGCTTTATTAGAGGGCCCCATAGAAAAAAATTGTTTTAAGATAGAATGAGGACTTCCTTTGTTCAAATCAAGAGAGAATAATGGACCAAATGGCCAGCCGGCTCAGTATGACCCCAAAAGTGTTAAATATGGAAACAACTATAATTACTTCTTTTAAGATTGCGCGTTCAAGGACGGTGTGGTGTCGACCTGCTATAAGATCTAAAAAGAAAAGCTTGAACTTTCCTGGTGCCCTTATTCAATACAATACAATACAATAACTTTTATTTAAAGAGGGAAGCGCAATAACCTATTACAGTTTTCTAACCTACGGCCCTATTATTCCAATGATGTAAGGGTGGATGTTACGATTTGTGCAAATTAAATGCATTTTAATAATGGCCAGTTTGTGTCTAGTGTGTCTAGATTCTGTTTTCTAACAGTGCTCTGTCCAGTGGCACATCTCCATATTGGCTATCTAAGGGAGTATGCCCTCGTCCGGGTAACCATTGCACGCAAACCACTTAGTACAATAGTAAGGTTCAAGAACACAGAAGTTTGTAAGTCAGATAGCTAATCAACATTGATTTAAAAAAATGTTTAGAACTATGAATAAAGTTAAATGGCTTGAATGAACGGAGATATTTTGTAAATTATATATTTAAGTAATTTTGTAAGTTACGTGCTTGCAGACGTCATCATCTTTGTTAAGTTTATGAGGTACCGTTCATATTCTGGCATCACATTAATGTTGACGAAGTACTAGTTGAATCACTCTCAAAAAATTATTACAAAGTGCGATGGAATTGTTACAAATTGCGACAGCTTAGTTTATAACAAAGTGCGTTGGGCAGTTATTACAAGTTGCGACAGCTTTTTGATTACAAAGTGCGACACGATTTTTTACAAATTGCGGCAGGTATTACAAATTGCGACAGAACGTCCCTCGCAGCATATAAATCACGTACGTTTCTTGACAGCTGAGAGTACAGTAAACGTAAAATGGCGAAGACTAGCTTTCGAAAACAAGGCGCAGGACACTGATACAAGTCGGGAACATGCACAAAACCGAAGACCTGCTCCATACAACCGGACAGGTAATGGGACTACACCTATATTAGCGACTTGAATTTCGGTTAATGTATTCAGCATATTTAGAATTAAATTTCTTACAAGTGACGAAGGAATACACTCATGCCACAATCAATTATATAGAACGTCTAGTAAGATAGGCACCATTATAGTCGTTTAAGTTTAAGTATCGTTAGTTGGAAAAACAAAAGGAAAAGAATCCGTATGACTTGGCTTTATTGACCACAATGCATTACAGTCTATAAAAATTTACTTTAAATGAATGAGATATTCATATTTTTAATCTTATCAATTTTTAATTTGATCCCTCTTTATAAACTATATGTTGCACTTGACGCTCAACTTCGCGCTTGCCCTTGCTAGCTTAAAAAAAAAAGCAAAAAATTTTAAAAAGTGTTTATTAAAAGTGATTTAATTTCTTCGAGGTATGTGTATTCACGATTCACAATCGAGGATTGTAGCAGTTCGCGTTTCAGGGAGTCTACTTCAATCACAATACACAACGGTTTTTCAGCACATCACGATTCATAGACAACAAAAATGTTGGATCACGGGGTCCCAAAAATATTTTCCCCCCACTCCCTGTTCAAATACAGCGTATGGGCAAACATATTTAAACATTTTTCTTGCATTTATATGTTCGTGTATCTACCCAGGTTTGCACCTGAGCAGTAGTAAGGAAAATTCACAAGGACAAGCATCAGGCTGGAGCCTTAATCGGGGTACCTCAATTATACCCCCTGCTTCAGCCCAACTAACATTAACACCAGCTAAAGAAAAAGAAGGTAATAAAAGCCATGGACAAGCAGCGAAAGCCGAAAGATTTTTATTTGAGAGCACAGGTAAAAAGATTTATTAAAAACTGTTGACTCGCTAAGCCTATATCAACTTTTTTTTGTTTGTTTTAAGGGAAGTATTCCTTGTTTGTTTGTTTTTTTTTTTTAATCCATATTACGTTTTGGCTTTGGTGGGTGCATTCAGCTGAATTTTCAGGGCGTTCCTTCTTGTGGATGCAAGATCCTACAAATTGCCATTAACATTAGCAGTGAAGTGTCCTGTTAAGAGGTTTCCAGTGGGAGGTTAATAATCGATCAAACACAAGACAATTAAGCCCAAGCCTTCTTAAGTTTTTCACGCTGGTTCAAGGAGCAGAACCTGACCCAGGATTCAGTGATACATTATTTGCCAGAAGTCAAGTGCAAGTACTCGAACCGGGGCACCTGGAAGTAGATTATGCAATGACAACGTTTTCTAAAAACAAAAGATTCTCAAGGTTTTTTGCAAACGGAACAATAACTTTTAAAATTTGAGGCCTGCTTCCTCAGAGGCGGGGTAAGTTAAAACGGTTAAATATCAATTAACGGTCCTATGGCTGAACCTTGAATTTTCGCGGTCCTTTCCAAAAAAAATTGAGAATCTTCTGTTTTCAAAAAAACGTTGGGATTAGATAATCTTTTCCAAGTGACCCGGTTCAAGTAGTCGCACTGTAAATTTGCGGCTTGGGTGCTGGCTTGCAACTCGCCTTGGGTGATGAACCTAACTTTCACTTGATGAGTTGCGCGGCTTTTACCAGCCTCCAAAGACTGAAGGCCAACCTGTTTAACCTACGCTCGCCGCTTGACAAATATCTAGCACCAAGAGAGGATAAAGGGGACAGAGAAGGCATCCCCCATACACACCCTATTCTATAGGTAATTTGTCTCGAGTTATTTTTAGAATCGGGACAAAGTTACCTTGCGCGCTGCGCGGATGTTTCGTGGAGGTTTCGCATGACTAAACGCCGTGCAAAACATGTCGGGCGAAAGGCAATAAAAGCGTAAAGAGATCGAGAACATTCCTGAATATTGAAGCGAAATGAGTCGGCGCTCACTTGGGAAAAGGGAATCGCTGGACTCTTTGACAACCCGTGAAATCAATTTAACTCGAAGTTGTCGTAACCTCAGTGCTTTAATGAAATGAGAAATTTCGTCGGTCTATTGAAACCGGTCGTTTGTACAATAAAGTAAGTAGGACGCCAAGTGTTATTTTTGTTGAATAATAAAAGACTAATAAAAGAATAAATATCAAACCAGAAATTGCTCTCTTCAAACTGTAAATTATAAATGATCCTGAGAGAATATTCAGTGTGTTGAGGATTTCCCTGCTGTACTGTTAACTCTATACAAGAGAGGAAGGGCGATTCTTTTTTAATTTCCGTTTCGCTGACAAAGCTTTAGCAGAAATCTATCTTTAGTTGTTTTCGTCGAGAAAAAGAATAGCAGTATCACTCTCCGCGTCTTCCGCCATTTTTTTCAGCGTCAATTCGTGAAGGACGCGTGGCTCTGAGCGTGGGTCATCCACGCGGAACACATTCGCGCTATGTGATTGGCTGTTGTCTAATCCCCCTTGGGATCTGTGGTCTTAAAAATAAGTCGAGACGAATTACCTATGGAATAGGGTGTGTATGGGGGATGCCTTCTCTGTCCCCTTTATCCTCTCTTTCTAGGACTGAATCAGAATCAAAATTAGCTTTATAGCTCTGTCTGGACCTGCCTCGACTCTTCTCCGCTTAGAACGAATAACAACTGCCAGGCGATTTGGTAGCAAAGTCATGAGGCGACCTTACAGCTGTTAAAAGACCTCACGGGATTGGCTGAGAAAACAATGACAACAAACTTTAAAATAGAACCTAGCCCGAAAACAAAAGGGCTGGGACCATAAAGGTCCTATTAAATCAGAGGTTCTGAAGTCCTGCGAGGCTACTGAATTTAGAATGTTGTTTTGGACTGAAAGACTCTTTTACACCGGGCAGTGTTGTTATATTATATAAAGTATAAAGTCAGGTTTTTGCCCTTTACAGAGTAACGTCTCACAGTTGTACTGTCGCAATTTGGAATAATCATCGCACTTTGTTATACCCGTAGCAATTTGTAATCAATCCATCGTACTTTGTAATGCCTGTTGCAATTTGTAATAAACCATGTCGCTCTTTGTAATAAAAAAAGCTGTCCCAATTTGGGATAACTGTCCATCGCACTTTGTAATAAACTAAGCTGTCGCAATTTGTAATAATTCCATCGCACTTTGCTATAGACCCAAATTTTTGGTTTTGGTCAAACATGCATGTTGGCTTTGTGTCTTTGGTTTGATCCTTAGATAGGGTAACTCAAGTAGTAATAGATGGTTTATTATCCTTTCCATTTTATGGAAAAAAGTAATCCTGAACACACTCGGAAGAATTGCAAGGTCTTACGAGTTGTACGCACACGGTATTTGCTTTATTCGAGGGCCCCATAGAAAAAAATTGTTTTAAGATAGAATGAGGACTTCCTTTGTTCCTATATGGGACCAAATCAAGAGAGAATAATGGACCAAATGGCCAGCCGGCTCAGTATGACCCCAAAAGTGTTAAATATGGAAACAACTATAATTACTTCTTTTATTTAAGATTGCGCGTTCAAGGACGGTGTGGTGTCGACCTGCTATAACATCTAAAAAGGAAAGCTTGAACTTTCCTGGTGCCCTTATTCGAATGATGTAAGGATGGATGTTACGATTTGTGCAAATTAAATGCATTTTAATAATGGCTAGTTTGTGTCTAGTGTGTCTAGATTCTGTTCTCTGACAGTGCTCTGTCCAGTGGCACATCTCCATATTGGCCATCTAAGGGAGTATTCCCTCGCCCGGGTAACCATTGCATGCAAACCACCTAGTAAAATAGCAAGGTTTAAGAACACAGAAGTTTGTAAGTCAGATAACAAATCAACATTGATTAAAAAAAATGTTTAGAATTATGAATAAAGTTAAATAGCTTGAACGAACGGAGATACTTTGTGAATTATATATTTGATTAATTTTGTAAGTTACCTGCTTGCAGACGTCATCATCTTTGTTAAGTTTATGAAGTACCGTCTATTTTCTGGTATCACATTAATGTTGAAGAAGTATTAGTTGAATCACTCTCAAAAAGTTATTACAAAGTGCAATGGAATTATTACAAATTGCGACAGCTTAGTTTATTACAATGTGCGATGGGCAGTTATTGCAAGTTGCGACAGCTTTTTGATTACAAAGTGCGACACGATTTTTTACAAATTGCGACAGAACGTCCCTCGCAGCATAAAAATCACGTACGTTTCTTGACAGGTGAGAGTACAGTAAACGTAAAATGGCGGAGACTAGCTTTCGAAAACAAGGCGAAGGACACTGATACAAGTCGGGAACATGCACAAAACCGAAGACCTGCTCCATATAACCGGACAGGTAATGGGATTATACCTATATTAGCGACTTGAATTTCGGTTTATGTATTCAGCATATTTAGAATTAAATTTCTTACGCATGACGAAGGAATACACTCATGCCACCATCAAATATATAGAACGTCTAGTAAGATAGGCACCATTATAGTGAAAAAGTCGATTAAGTTTAAGTATCGTTAGTTGGGAAAAACAAAAGGAAAAGAATCCGTATGACTTGACTTTATTGGCCACACTGCATTACAGTCTATAAAAAGTTACTTTAAATGAATAAGGTGATTCATATTTTTAGTCTTATTAATTTTAATTTGATGCTTTTACAAAATATATGTTGCACTTGACGCTCAACTTCGCGCTGAAGCAAAACAAAAAAAACTGTTTAAGTGACTTAACTTCTTCAATGTATGTGTATTCACAGTTCACAATCAAGGATTGCAGCAGTTCTCGTTTCAGGGAGTCCACTTCAATCACTTCAATTACAATACATAACGGTTTTCAGCACATCATGATTCATGGAAAACAAAAATGTTTCATCACGGGATAACAAAAACAAATATAAGTTCCCCCACTCACTGTTCAAATGCAGCGTATGGGCAAACATTTTTAAAAACATTTTTCTTGTATCTGTATGTTCGTGTATCCGCTTCCCAGGTTTGCACCAGAGCAGTAGTAAGGCAAATTCACAAGGACAAGCATCAGGCAGGAGCCTTAATCGGGGTTACACCTCAATTATGGCCCCTGCTTCAGCCGAACTAACATTACCACAAGCTCAAGAAAAAGAAGATAGTAAAAGCCAAGAACAAGCAGCGAAGGCCGAAAGATTTTTATTTGAGAGCACAGGTAAAAAGATTTATTAAAAACCGTTGACAGCATTTTTGTTTCGTTTATAACGAAAAAATTTTTAAACAGTAATCGTTAAGCCCAAATGCAGTTGATCTAATATTAATAATGCTAAAAATGTGTCTTAGTTTTAATCCTTGTGCGTGCCTTGTCAAGCAAGACTTGTAGGCAGCAACAGAGGAAATAAATGGAATGCAAATGTATTTTTTTTCGTAGAAGTTAACGGAGCTGCTTGTTAATATAATAGGTTAAGCTTAATCGAGCACTCTTTTTAAGTTTTTTTTTATCGTTTTACAATTTGACATTTTGTTTTGGACAAAAGGAAAATTACTCTGAAAGTTAAAAAAAAAGATCTGTTTCAGCCCCAAAGTGCCAATTCAGCCTGTAGGCCAAAGTCTAATTCAACATCAACAACAATTTTGACTAAAAGGCAGATGATACTTGAAGCACTGCCCGCAGCTAGCAAGGCTATTCCAGGCGGAATGGTGCGTGCAAAAAAAATTAATAAGGTGAAGGTTAATTAACTAAGAAAAATTTTAAAGTTAACCAATCAAATGAAATAAAAATCGTAACATGGTTGAGGACTTAATACACGACAGAGAAGAAAGAATTAAACAAATATAACAAACTGTAAATTAAAGTAGAATCAATTAAGCAAAAAATATATATAAATTATATATTTTACGACATTTTTTGGGTGATTTTACTGTTTTAATTAAAGTGGGCTTTTCGATATAGACATCTTCTTTAATTCCTGAAAATATCAATTAATAAGTTGCGGAGTGTTTTCAGTCCCTCCTGGAGCCCTTTGATCACAATTTAAGCCGAAACAGCCCTGTCGTGAATGCCAAAGGGCCGTTCTTCACGATATCCCAGTTTTAAAGCAAACAGGGTTTATTTCACAGCTTCGATCCTCACAGTACAACGGCTCGCTCACATACTACACAAAATCGTGACTTTCTTGAATCTATAAGCTTTAGATTTTAATGCGATCTGTCATCAAGTTCTCTGTCGCTCTGACAGACGAGTGAAACTATTAATATCAAAATCAAAGGAATAAAATCACGCCATCTCACAATCACGCTACACTCTTGCTTCATAACAAGCCCCATCAAAAGGCTATTGAATTCCAGCATCCCAGGACGTCTAATAAGTTACGTGCCATTATAGTCGGCAGTTATGTATCGTTAGTTGGGAAAAAAGAGAGCAAACGAGTCCCCTTGACTTGAACCTCTGTCGACTTCACACCTAGAATGCAGTGGATTTTCTACTTAGATAATCATTTCTTCCTTGAATTTACGTTCGTGGGCCGGGATATCTTCTGCTAACGGTTCCTTAGAATAAAATATCGAAGACACTATTCCTTTTTGCTTTCTATCAAACAGGTTTGCGTGAGGACACAAGTAAAGTTAGTGTACTCAAACGAGTTTTTGAGGAAGGTTCTTTCAGAAGAGCTGAAGGGCAAAATGGCGACGAAAGCCGTGAACATGCACCAAAACGAATACGTACTTCACATTCAAGGACCGGTGTACTCAAACGAGTTTTTGAGGAAGGTTCTTTCAGAAGAGCTGAAGCGCAAAATGGAGACGAAAGCCGTGAACTTACACCAAAACGAATACGTACTTCATATAAAAAGACAGGTAATAAGGAAGTAATTTAAGAAAAATATATAATAAAAAAATAAAAGGCATCAATTACAGGCCTTATGAGTCGAATTTTAACCCTATTCAGACTGGGGGGGTGGCTTTTCGAACCCCCCCTCCGGCAAAATCGTAATAACTCCTACACCGAAAGAGCTATGACGTTCAAATTTTCTGACTTTTCCTAAAATTTATCTAGGAACATTTTGGTATAATTACCATGTCCATGCGATTAATCATGTTGCCATGGCAACCAGTTTCTGACACATAGGTTTTGGAAAATTTAGAAAATGGTGATTTTTTTGTTTTAAGATCGCGTTTTTACACTTATAGTGCTTTTTGTTGTTAAAATGGTCTTTGCTTGGGACTAGTTTTTGAATTGCATCAAAATGTTTCAACATCGAATATTTGGGGGGGAGGGGTGGGGTAAAATTTGTCACTTTTTTGCTTTGACAAATATGCTGCTCTATTTTCCAAATAACACTTCCAAAGTAATTTGTTTGGGTAATAAACATTAGTTTGATACTTCTTTTGCACATTCTGAAAGTTGCTTTAAATTATAATTTTAACAAAAAAACGGAAATCCAAGATGGCGGATCCAAGATGGCGGATCCAAGATGGCGGACAACCATTTCAAATTTTAAATTTTATTGTTTCCTATTGCTTTTTCTCGCTGTACAAGTGTTTCCTTGTTACTAGTTCATAAGAAAGGATAACAAAGAGATGACTTTACCAATATTATTGATATTTTACGTATCTAAGTGGAAAAATAATAAGAAACATTGAAAAATCGGAATATGACGTCACTGTGACGTCATCATTGGGCGTGGCAAGTCAAAACTGGGTGTGGGGCTTCTTTGTACGGAGATAATCATTGTGTGTAAATTTCATGACCCTAGCATTATTGGTTCCAGAGATACAGAGGGGGGGTCCGAGGAGCCCCCCCCCCCCCCAGTTACAGATTGACTAAAAAAGCCCAGTCTGAATAGGGTTAAGATTATGGTGAGTAACGTTAAGGCCAAACGTCATATTTTTCGTGAGACGAACCAAACTCTAATTAGGGTCGATCTAAATTTAAGTTTAGATCGTCTGTTGGGTCAGACGGCGAAGCCTATAATCAGTTCCCTTTCGTAAGCGGTCTTTGCCATTTAAACGGTCGATGCCACCATTGGTAACCAAGCCCTTAGTCATGATAGATGCAATATATTCGCGGGATTAAGTTACAACAAGGAAAATAATACGTTTTTCAATAGTCTGAGAAAGACAGACGTTGACGCCCAAGTTGAATTTACGTTAAAAGTTATTGAAAGGGCTAGGGTTACCTGTTATTGATGTATCAGTTAAGAAAAACAGTTTGTTAGTTTATGTACTTACATTTTTCGTGGCGTGTCGGAGTGGTAGTGTAGTGGTGATGGAGAGAGATAAGGATACGAAAGGTACGGGTTCTACCCTGCCTGGCGATTTTCTTTCTTTTTAATAGAAACAATTTCAATAACAGGACAAAAATTTTATTAGTGTCTTAAAAATGGCAGCGACAGTTTACGAAAAGGACAACTACGACGGCGAACTTAGTCGAACCAATCAACTGAATGAGACCAAAAAGCAATTTTAGCAATTTTAGCCGAGTGAGGCTAAATATACATTCTCATTCAAATTTTTAATTTATTAGTTCAGTTCGTCGCATGTGAAAATCGACGTGTTCGAATTAGGAGCAGACGGGTAGAACGTGTTGGACGAACCAAACTCACTCAGGCGAACTTAAGTGAGCCAGACATCGAACTTTTTACGAACTTGACTCACTAAGTTTGGTTCGTCTCATGAAAAGTTCGACGTTTGACCTAGGCGTGAGGTGGGTTTTCCAGTTCGATACAGAAGGCACGTTAGGAGAGTAAACAATTGAGCAATTATTGGATTCGGCTTTCGTGTGACCTGAAGAATTATAAGGGGATTGAGGAAGGTTTAATATCCATGGAGATCTGGGTACACTGTAATTTTCAGGGAGTTATAATAACTCCTCTAGTGGGGCTAATTTAACTCCTTACAGTGGAGTTATTTTAACTCCAAAAAGGAGTTAAAAGAACTCTTTTTCAGGAGTAAAAATGACCCCAGATATTGAGGAGTTAAAATAACCCCAAAAAAGGAGTTATCCTGTACCTAAAATTTTTACTCCACTTTCAGAGTTAAATTAACTCCAAAAAGAGTAAAAACAACCCATGTAAGGAGTACAAGTAACCCCATTTCGGAGTGATTTTAACTCCAGACTGGGAGTAAAAAGAACTCTTTTTCAGGAGTAAAAATGACCCCAGATATTGAGGAGTTAAAATAACCCCAAAAAAGGGGTTATCCTGTACCTAAAATTTTTAGTCCATTTTTGGAGTTATAATAACTCCCTAAAAATTACGGTGTACATAATTGTTCAGATTATACAAAAGCCAAATCTAATCAGGGCTTCTCCGTTACCGTCCCTTTTTTGGCGATTAACTGGTGAGTATACTACTGACGCCATTTTCTGATAGCAGGAGGAAATTGATTATCTATACAGTAACTGATTTGAAAAGCGTTTGTACTCTAGCCGTGGGTGTAAAAGTCTATGAGTGTGTGCCTTACCTTTTATGCAAACCTCCTGTTAAACCACAGGGTATGGACAAACATGAACTTCTCTTTTATTCCTTAAATGTGCGTGTATTTCATATTGCTTAAGGCAAAGTTACTCCAAAACCAGCTAATGCGTAAGAGAATGACAACAACAAAAAAAGCCGTGTGCAAATTGGAGCATCTTGGGAGATTGCTGGGAAAAATTTATCTGTTCCTCAGTCCCAGCAAGACTGATCGAAGGGTTCCCAGCCAGAAGGGTGTACCTAGTACAACCTGCAACCCGACTTACAGGGAACTCTCCCAGCAGACGTATATCCAGACATTACTGAACAGTTTGGGTGTGGTCAAAGGACGAAATTCTGCCTTTCAGTTGGGGGGGGGGGGATGTCTGAGAAATAGCACATAGCAGCTATTCTGGACATCAAATCCCCTCAGACACTCTGATTTGCCTAGTTCCCACTTCCCAGCAACACTTCAAAGAACGTACTAGAGACTTTTAGATTCAAGGACGACAACGACTACGAGTATGAGATTTAGCTTACAGTTTTTTCGCATATTCTCAACTGAATATAGACTCCTCGGAAAGCTTCATTTTACCATTTTTCATTAGAAAAGTTAGCATTATTACCTTTAGTGAAGGAGGTTACACCCTCTCTCGATCGCAAAATGATAAACTTCTAACATTTGATAACCTGTTTCTGCTACTTCGACATTCACACCTAAACTCGCAGTAGAGTGACGACGATTACGACGTTTTCCCGTCAAAATGACGCTCTTTCACGCGCGAGCACTACTTACTATTGAGAGAATCTCGTACTCTTAGTCGTACTCGTCTTAGAATCTAAACGTCTATCATTTTTTCCAAATCTCCCAGCCAGCCAAAATTTGCCTGTAGAAAAGATATTTTGAGGAACAGGTCCATTGGGTGCCCCTGATTCATTATAAACTGCCACAAAAAATGCGTCGTGAGTTTTTTCAAAATGCCGCACAACATACGCGTATTATACCGGAAAAAGTGTCAGTCAGTACCGCCAGGTATGTCGAAGGTATATAGCTTAGAAAGGAAATGTGACCTAAAACTAGTTGTAAAATAGCAGTCTGGATATTAATTTCCCTTCAACTTACCCATTTGAAACTTGCAACGGGATGTCCCTTATTACCTAGCAGGATAGTCATCTCCAGGAAATAATAAATTGACGATGACTTAGCGGTTTCCAAATATCTTTTCTGGCTAAGTTGAATGATGGCCATGTAGTCGTATTGACATAAAACAAAAAACAAAAGCTAAAAAATTACTCAGTAAATACGTTTTACCTCTAGAATATAGAAAACATCATCGTATGTCTGTATGTGTGTGTTTCCAAACAGATTTGAATGACAAGCCAAGTAAAGTGAGTGTTCTTAAGCGAGCTTTTGAGGAAGTTTCCTTCATATCAGCTGAACGTAAAGACGGTGTTGAAAGCCGTGAACATGCAGCAGAAAGAAAACATTCTCCACAAACCAGAAAAGGTAAAATTTACGCCTTGATCAACATCTTAATTTCAATTACACTGAGATGGCTCCCCACTTACCAAAAAATAAACAAGGCATTATAGGAACAATTATGTCTTGTTTGCAAAATAGCTGGATGTTTATTTTCTGTACAAAATGCACATCTAATCCGCGGCGGAATCCTCATATGAAAGAGGTGGGGATGCTCGTCGGAAATTTTGAATTAAACCCCTAAAAGAGACCGATTTGGGCGTAGCCCAAGCTTTTTTGAGCCCTAAAAGAGACTATGTTAAAACACAGACGATACACATATTTTTATATTTTTTCAAGAACAACCCTAAACGAGACCTTCACGGCTAAATATGATGGCGTTTTGCCCAGGACACCCTAAGTGAGACCAAAATCCGAAATTTAAACCCCTAAGGGAGACGACGAGCATCCCCACCCCTTTCATATGCGGAGACCTCCCCCAGGGTATCCAATGACCGGAACGATGCCGACTCCAGGGCTGCTTGAACGACCGTGAATGCATTTGCATTAGGCATTTGCAATCATGTGTTCTATGAGTGTTTCTTTTTTCGCTTCCGTGCGCGTGGAGGAAAAGGAGCGCAAAGAGATCAACGGTGTCGTGGAGAAAAGGCCGTGTACGTACCTATTCCGCGGAGCGTATGTCACCTTCTTCCTTTCTCTAAACAGCAATTGCAAAACCAGCCAATAAAACGATTACAAATTGCACTAGCTAAACGTTCGATGCGAATAACAGCCAGTTCTAGAACACCTCAAAATGATACCCCAATAGTTTTTTGGGCCTGAAACTTCAATGATTTTCTATTGTTTTTAAGCTCTCGTAAGCGACCACCTGACGCATTCTCTGATCTCTGTGTACGCTATGTGCACTATGCTACTTGGAATATACGACATGTACGAAGAACTTAGTAACAACATGGAACTACACATTGTGTAACTTAGAAATCGCATGCAATAAATTATCTTCCATAAAGTAGATATGCTTGGACCTCTTCTCGGAAAAGACCCACTGTGGTTCGATTCTTGTAAGGGACCACCACCTGTGAGCGACCACTAAGTCTTTGCATTTTGGGTGGTCGCTTACAGGAGGTTCAACTGTAGTAGGGCCTTCTCATATGGTAGCAGTAATACTAACCAGTGGTGCTATAGCCAAAAAACGTGGCACCGGCCTCCTTTGTGTGTAAAATGAATGGGCGGCATATGTGTTGAGCGCGAAAAACGAGGCGAACCAAGCAGGGGATTGGGAAGAGAAGGCTGAATATTCTTGTGTTTATTGTTACATTAAGCGACCACCCAAAATGCAAGGACTTAGTGGTCGCTTACAGGTGGTGGTCGCTTACAAGAATCGAACCACAGGGGATCTCTTCCGAGAAGAGGTCCAAGCACATCTACTTTATGGAAGATAATTTATTGCATGCGATTTCTAAGTTACGCCATGTGTAGTTCCATGTTGTTACTTTATTCTTCGTACGTGTCGTATATTCCAAGTAGCATAGTACACATAGCGTACACAGAGATCAGAGAATGCGTCAGGTGGTAGCTTACAAGAGCTTAAAAACAATGGAAAATCATTAAAGTTTCAGGCCCAAAAAGTGGTCGCGGTCGCTTACGGGAGGTGATCGTTTACTATTCAGAGTTAAATTAACTCCAAAAAGAGTAAAAACAACCCATGTAAGGAGTACAAGTAACCCCATTTCGGAGTGATTTTAACTCCAGACTGGGAGTAAAAAGAACTCTTTTTCAGGAGTAAAAATGACCCCAGATATTGAGGAGTTAAAATAACCCCAAAAAAGGGGTTATCCTGTACCTAAAATTTTTAGTCCATTTTTGGAGTTATAATAACTCCCTAAAAATTACGGTGTACATAATTGTTCAGATTATACAAAAGCCAAATCTAATCAGGGCTTCTCCGTTACCGTCCCTTTTTTGGCGATTAACTGGTGAGTATACTACTGACGCCATTTTCTGATAGCAGGAGGAAATTGATTATCTATACAGTAACTGATTTGAAAAGCGTTTGTACTCTAGCCGTGGGTGTAAAAGTCTATGAGTGTGTGCCTTACCTTTTATGCAAACCTCCTGTTAAACCACAGGGTATGGACAAACATGAACTTCTCTTTTATTCCTTAAATGTGCGTGTATTTCATATTGCTTAAGGCAAAGTTACTCCAAAACCAGCTAATGCGTAAGAGAATGACAACAACAAAAAAAGCCGTGTGCAAATTGGAGCATCTTGGGAGATTGCTGGGAAAAATTTATCTGTTCCTCAGTCCCAGCAAGACTGATCGAAGGGTTCCCAGCCAGAAGGGTGTACCTAGTACAACCTGCAACCCGACTTACAGGGAACTCTCCCAGCAGACGTATATCCAGACATTACTGAACAGTTTGGGTGTGGTCAAAGGACGAAATTCTGCCTTTCAGTTGGGGGGGGGGGGATGTCTGAGAAATAGCACATAGCAGCTATTCTGGACATCAAATCCCCTCAGACACTCTGATTTGCCTAGTTCCCACTTCCCAGCAACACTTCAAAGAACGTACTAGAGACTTTTAGATTCAAGGACGACAACGACTACGAGTATGAGATTTAGCTTACAGTTTTTTCGCATATTCTCAACTGAATATAGACTCCTCGGAAAGCTTCATTTTACCATTTTTCATTAGAAAAGTTAGCATTATTACCTTTAGTGAAGGAGGTTACACCCTCTCTCGATCGCAAAATGATAAACTTCTAACATTTGATAACCTGTTTCTGCTACTTCGACATTCACACCTAAACTCGCAGTAGAGTGACGACGATTACGACGTTTTCCCGTCAAAATGACGCTCTTTCACGCGCGAGCACTACTTACTATTGAGAGAATCTCGTACTCTTAGTCGTACTCGTCTTAGAATCTAAACGTCTATCATTTTTTCCAAATCTCCCAGCCAGCCAAAATTTGCCTGTAGAAAAGATATTTTGAGGAACAGGTCCATTGGGTGCCCCTGATTCATTATAAACTGCCACAAAAAATGCGTCGTGAGTTTTTTCAAAATGCCGCACAACATACGCGTATTATACCGGAAAAAGTGTCAGTCAGTACCGCCAGGTATGTCGAAGGTATATAGCTTAGAAAGGAAATGTGACCTAAAACTAGTTGTAAAATAGCAGTCTGGATATTAATTTCCCTTCAACTTACCCATTTGAAACTTGCAACGGGATGTCCCTTATTACCTAGCAGGATAGTCATCTCCAGGAAATAATAAATTGACGATGACTTAGCGGTTTCCAAATATCTTTTCTGGCTAAGTTGAATGATGGCCATGTAGTCGTATTGACATAAAACAAAAAACAAAAGCTAAAAAATTACTCAGTAAATACGTTTTACCTCTAGAATATAGAAAACATCATCGTATGTCTGTATGTGTGTGTTTCCAAACAGATTTGAATGACAAGCCAAGTAAAGTGAGTGTTCTTAAGCGAGCTTTTGAGGAAGTTTCCTTCATATCAGCTGAACGTAAAGACGGTGTTGAAAGCCGTGAACATGCAGCAGAAAGAAAACATTCTCCACAAACCAGAAAAGGTAAAATTTACGCCTTGATCAACATCTTAATTTCAATTACACTGAGATGGCTCCCCACTTACCAAAAAATAAACAAGGCATTATAGGAACAATTATGTCTTGTTTGCAAAATAGCTGGATGTTTATTTTCTGTACAAAATGCACATCTAATCCGCGGCGGAATCCTCATATGAAAGAGGTGGGGATGCTCGTCGGAAATTTTGAATTAAACCCCTAAAAGAGACCGATTTGGGCGTAGCCCAAGCTTTTTTGAGCCCTAAAAGAGACTATGTTAAAACACAGACGATACACATATTTTTATATTTTTTCAAGAACAACCCTAAACGAGACCTTCACGGCTAAATATGATGGCGTTTTGCCCAGGACACCCTAAGTGAGACCAAAATCCGAAATTTAAACCCCTAAGGGAGACGACGAGCATCCCCACCCCTTTCATATGCGGAGACCTCCCCCAGGGTATCCAATGACCGGAACGATGCCGACTCCAGGGCTGCTTGAACGACCGTGAATGCATTTGCATTAGGCATTTGCAATCATGTGTTCTATGAGTGTTTCTTTTTTCGCTTCCGTGCGCGTGGAGGAAAAGGAGCGCAAAGAGATCAACGGTGTCGTGGAGAAAAGGCCGTGTACGTACCTATTCCGCGGAGCGTATGTCACCTTCTTCCTTTCTCTAAACAGCAATTGCAAAACCAGCCAATAAAACGATTACAAATTGCACTAGCTAAACGTTCGATGCGAATAACAGCCAGTTCTAGAACACCTCAAAATGATACCCCAATAGTTTTTTGGGCCTGAAACTTCAATGATTTTCTATTGTTTTTAAGCTCTCGTAAGCGACCACCTGACGCATTCTCTGATCTCTGTGTACGCTATGTGCACTATGCTACTTGGAATATACGACATGTACGAAGAACTTAGTAACAACATGGAACTACACATTGTGTAACTTAGAAATCGCATGCAATAAATTATCTTCCATAAAGTAGATATGCTTGGACCTCTTCTCGGAAAAGACCCACTGTGGTTCGATTCTTGTAAGGGACCACCACCTGTGAGCGACCACTAAGTCTTTGCATTTTGGGTGGTCGCTTACAGGAGGTTCAACTGTAGTAGGGCCTTCTCATATGGTAGCAGTAATACTAACCAGTGGTGCTATAGCCAAAAAACGTGGCACCGGCCTCCTTTGTGTGTAAAATGAATGGGCGGCATATGTGTTGAGCGCGAAAAACGAGGCGAACCAAGCAGGGGATTGGGAAGAGAAGGCTGAATATTCTTGTGTTTATTGTTACATTAAGCGACCACCCAAAATGCAAGGACTTAGTGGTCGCTTACAGGTGGTGGTCGCTTACAAGAATCGAACCACAGGGGATCTCTTCCGAGAAGAGGTCCAAGCACATCTACTTTATGGAAGATAATTTATTGCATGCGATTTCTAAGTTACGCCATGTGTAGTTCCATGTTGTTACTTTATTCTTCGTACGTGTCGTATATTCCAAGTAGCATAGTACACATAGCGTACACAGAGATCAGAGAATGCGTCAGGTGGTAGCTTACAAGAGCTTAAAAACAATGGAAAATCATTAAAGTTTCAGGCCCAAAAAGTGGTCGCGGTCGCTTACGGGAGGTGATCGTTTACTAGAGGTTCCAACTGTAAGGCTTTGACCAGGAAAATGTTGGTGTTTTGGGTTGGCGGTCGCTTATTGGAGGTGGTCGCTTACAAGAGGTGGTTGCACATGGAGGTTCGACTGTATATTGGCCCTCTGGGTTCTCTCGAGGTTTCCTTGGCACTTTCTGTTTTGTATTATTTCTTTTTCTTTTTTGAAAAATCGAACGATCACAATTACATGTTCCTGTTATTTCTTTCTTTTCTCTCTCTCTTCCTCTGTTTCTCCCTTCTTCTCTTTTTTTCTTTTCGTACCAATTTGGCACATTTGGTATAATTCCCGTCATAACAGAAAATAAAGAAATTTTTAAAACACCTGTTTTTATCCGATTTTGTTTCCGATAGTACCAAGTGAAATCATAGCTAGAGGACCAGGGGCAAAACGTGCTTATGAAAATGCTTTGAAAAATGGAAAGGTAAAGGTGTATCGTGGTCGAATCATGTTCATCGGCCAAGATCGAGCGGGAAAGACGAGTTTAAAAAAACATCTTCTTGGCCTGCCATTTGACCCTGATGAACAGAGTACAGACGGGGTGGAAGTTGACCCATCTACATTTGAATTTGACGTCGACCACGCTACGAATTGGAAGATCACCAATGAAAAGCTCAGTGTTTCTCATTTTGCCAACGAGCTTGCAAAAATAGTGGCAGGAAAACTTCAGGAAGAGAAAACTAACATGAACCGGGAAGGTCAAGATGAAAAGAATATTAAGGTTAGCAAAATGTCCTGCAATCATCTCGAAAGAACTAGTTTCACTTTTTGACGTAATTTGCCGTCCTACGTACTGGGTTGAAGAAACCTGACCTAATTAAAACCTCACACTTAAGGATACTCACGTAAATTGCTCTCTCCGAAATAAAGAATAACAATATAATGTTGCCAAACGCCAGTCGTTAAAAAATCAGATCAGTGTTCATCATATTTAATTATGAAGAGCGATACAGTTGGGCTCCAGAAAGTAGTATAGGGCGCAGATTTAAGGCAGTTTTCTACCTTTTTTTAAGTGGAATCTGTGCTCATTGGAGAGAAGTATAATTATACATTAAGGTGGCTGAACACAGTTTTGGCAGTTTGTGAGTATACGTCATTTGTCAAATCATGGCAAGAGAAGGGTTGCAGCTCACAAGCTGAAACTTGGCAAGTGAAAAATATACTCATGAAAGATTTTGATCGACAGGTAAAATGTGACGTTTTCGTTGTTTCCATGGCAACATGAACGATGGAATACAGCCTTAAAATTTCACTTTTGCTCAGTTTACATAAAATTCGCTGATTAGATTTTCCTATAAACTTGCGTACAGCTTACTATAATTAATCATTACCATTTGAAACTTATTTGACCCAATTTTAAGAGAAGGGTTTTCAGATAATCAATAACTAATAATTGTATTACAATTATTAAATGTATCACAAAATTCGTCTGTTCAACTTTCATTTTAAAGTTCGCATTATTTAGAATACGATAAAAGTCAAAATCCTGCCAAATATCACAAAAATTTTGATGAATAGATTTTGAGAAATCGTGTTCTGTGTACCATTGCTTTTTTCGCCGCCATGTTTGTTTGTCTAATTTAAAACACGCGCCGTCACGCGAGTTACCGCTGACTGCTCGCAAAACTGTGTTAAGCCACCTTAACGCCAATGAGGTCATCGCCTTTTGTCCTTATCTCATGACCAAAAATCAGGGCGCAGAAAAATCTCATTATGATAACGTCGCGTTCGTTTTTAGATTGTTTAACCGATTTCACTGGTTTCAGGTTTTTAGTTATTTTTCCATTTCTAACGAGGGTATAGTCGCTAAACTTTCATTAACGTACAATCACTAAAAGGTAATTAACGTAACTGCCAGTTCCGCTTCACTGAATTTTGGCGCGCCATTCGTGCACATCAATGTGGGTTATAGTAAAGAGGCTCCTCTTTCAACAACTAACAAGATAGTTTTTGGCGAAATGTTTTACTTACCCTTTCCTCCTCTTATTAATTCTTTCTTTGTATATTTAGAATTTTTTAACTCAAACGAAAAAGAAGGATACCGAAGAACCTGGATTTCATTCTCACATAGCTAGCAATTTGGAAATCGAGGTTGAAGAAACTACGAGGTGCATGATCGACGGAAAGATGGAAGAAGCTTCCCCTCCAGAAGACGTACCAGAAGTAGTGACTGCAGAACCTACAATTTCCATACCCGAATTGAAGATTGATCCAGCCCATCCTCCAGAAGACTTCACAGAAATACTTGTTCAGCATTTAAAGGGATTAAATCTGGAAAAAGATGCGGAACAAGCTGAACAACACACGACGCTAGATCTATGGGACTTTGCAGGACAACATCTTTATTACGCTTCATATCCTGTGTTTTTGACGAAAAGAGCAATTTATCTGTTGGTCTACAACTTGAACAAGCCACTTGAAGCGGAGGCACTACCCTCTTTTAAACGAGAAAATTGCGAATTTCGTCTAAGGAATCCAAATTCCGAGACAAATTTAGACAACCTCATGTCATGGCTTGCTTCAGTAAGTACTATGTGTTCACAACAAAGGAAAGCTGGTAAAGAGGAAGAGAGGGAGCTCGAATACCTGCGTCCTCCAGTATTCATTGTAGGAACACATGCTGATGAGCCATATAAAAGTAATATCAAGGATATTGAATCACAGATCCAGAAGGCGATTTCAGGAAAAAGCTTTGCAAACCACGTGATTCGTCCTTTCTTTTCAATTTCTAACAAGTCAGGTTCAGACGAAAAGCAGCTCGTCGATCTCAAAGACAAGATAATCGAGGTGTTAAAGCAGGAGCCATACATGGGAGAGGAGTTGCCACTTCGGTAAGTTTTGTCATAAAAGATTACTCCAAAGCAGTTTCGTCCTGTATAATATCATATTTCCACGTTGTGAATTTTTTTCGATGATCGTGAAAGCTACAACCAATTGCAAAGCTACTGGGGCACTTCGACAAAAACCGGCCTTTTTACATCAAATGGCTGCTAGGCTCATATCTCCGAGAAATAACACTTAGCCCCTCTCTCCCCTCCATTCAAAGTATTTCCTCCAATTTTCAGCATTTTACAAGAGGATCACAAGCACAAGATCATGCTCAGGCCAAACAAGGTAGTGTGTCAAGTATTTTTGCAAATGGTTGTAGCTTCTTCAAAACACCATTCCAGGTGCAACTTTATGTTCAATCTTGATTTGCTAGGATGTTACTAAGACGAGGAACGAAGAACTAGTAACGAGCACGGAGAAAGGGAAAATTAAACCAAAATTGCAACAAAGCAGAGAATGGGTAATCAATTTACTGATACTGCTAGGGTGGACGTTAAGTTTTGTTACCATTTTTCAAGTCCCGTTACCCGTCCTCGTTCCGCTGTCCCCGTTGCTTGTTTTAGTTACATCTGATTTAAAAGCCTTTCTATACATATGCGCCTTTTACCTTGTCTCAAACTTTCATTCAGAATGCCGTTCAATTTAACGCTAAACCTAACCTACGGACAGGTTAAAATGACGATATTGAGACTCAAGAATAACCTCAGCGGAGATATTTCTGACGCTCCCACATTCCTTCAGCCATTTGGATGCCTTTTTCGTTCACAACTTCGTTTTTCCTGCAGGTGGTTCAATTTTGAGAAGGTCATTAAAAGCTTGGTTGCAGCGAACATTCAGCACTTGGGCCTAAAGGATCTACGAACCATTGTTCGGAAAGTCTGCTTCATCGAAGACGAGAAGGAGATGGACACCATGCTTGATTTTTATCATGACCTTGGCATCATTGTTAAACACCGAAACACAGTTATACTGCAGTCCCAATGGCTAATTGATATTTTCAGGAAACTTATAACCATCCGTCATTTCAACGATATGGTAATTTAAAAGTAAAACTTCTGGGATAAATGGGGTAATTTCCTTAGGATTTATTAGTATGAATATTGTTGGGGGTTACATAAAAATCTATGCAACATCGCAGAAATTCACCAACACACAGCTTATCTCCGTAGGGCGCACGGGCTAAGGGGGAGGGGAGAGGGGTCAAGATTCCTTACAAAACGTTCCATTATTCGGTAAAACAGCACTTGGGATAAGACTTAAAAACAAATAAAAAGGAAGTCAAAACACAGAGTTTTAGTATATACACACTCAGTGATCTTGGTGATTTAAGCAATCTGATTGGTTCGCTATCTCGAACTATTCAACAATATTCACCTCCTAGCGAGTGGATAATGTGTGAACTCGTTTTTTTTGTCTTAATTTTTAAAGAACGATCTTTTAAAAGAACGACACAACAAACCTTTTCGGCCATAAACTTGGCGAGTCAACAGAAAAGCACAAAGCTTTACTTTTCTTTTCAGGTAAGGAAACAATTCAAACTTTTAACGCTTCCCTTTAAGCCATTACGCTGTTGTTTGCGAAGTGATAAGCTTGTATGTGAATTACTATGTTTGAAAATTCTATAAACTTTCGCGTGATTTGATCTGTCAATCAAATCATACTCTTCTTTTTAATGGTTTCCTCTCTGATTTTTTTGAGATCACTTCGTGTGTATATACTAAAATAATTATTCTTTCTAATCTCGGTGAATAGTGGCTTTAGGAATATTTACCTCGATTTCAAAGGATAATTATTAATGTAACCACGACAGTCGTTTCTAAACGTCAGTCTAAATGCGCACATGTCAAATCTAGATGCGTGGTGTCGATGCCTGTTATTCACTCTTTATCCCAGTATCTTCATTGATTTCTGTCAGTGACGTCCATTGTGAGCTGGGAATCTGAGATCTCTAGATACATTTCAGTTTAAAGCGATCAGTTCGATACTTCGTAGCACGTTGTGACAGAATAGATTGTGCTCGCCAACGTTCATATTGAGCACTCCTATGAGTGTAAGTCATTGTGAACAGATCTGAAACGGACAACGCCACGGGAGGAGTTAATTTTCAAAGTATGTTTCTGATTTTGCCAGATCAAATAGACTATGCGACGTTTCAAAATAACTTATTAAGTTTGTTTAAAGTTATTTTGAAATTATTATTGTTTCATTAAGCGTGAAAATTTTAAACGTTTTTCTTTTTCATACGATCTAAGTACTTTTGTATCCCGTTTACAACACCAAGACGTTGGGGCATTGTGTAATTTCTTCGGGCAAGGTCGCCGACGCCGCTGCCCCCGAGCCAAAGTCCGAAGGTGCGCGTACGTCTATGAGCTTACTTAAAGCTCTTCAAAAAACAATATTTCAAACGACAGATGAAAAGGAGTTGTTTGAGGAGGCGCGCGATGGTGTGTGGAAGCGTTTTAAATTTAAGAACAACAGATCTGCATTTTTATTTTTTCTTGTGGTGACATATTCGTTCTATTTTTGCAGAAGTCCAAACATTCCCTTCTGTGGAAAAAAATGGAGATAACCGGTGTTCTCTCCATGGAACTCGTCGATCACGTGTTTTCCAAATTTTGTCAGCAAAGTTTTGCAAAAGAAAACATCTTACACTTGATGGAACAGTTTGGTTTGATTGCCAAGTGTGCATTTCCTATAAATGATGTGAAGTACTTTGTTCCAGCTCAACTACGTTCACAACCTGGACGACTTTGCCATTTGAAACCAGCCCCGACAGACCCTTGCCCGTTATATCTTCAGTTTCCATCTGGATTTGTTCCACACGGGCTTTTTACGCAACTCCTATCTCGTTGTACCAGATGGTGTTCCAAAATTGAATTCAAGGAGGCGCCCAGACTCTTTGATGGGGTAGCCAGGTTTACGCTGCTATCAAAGGATTTTTCCTACCAGCTAATCTGTGTTCGCAAGAAAAGCTTTATTAAGTTTCTCTTGCGTCATTTTCAAACACAGCCGTGTCAAGCAGCTCCACTGACAGAAATTGAAGAAATGGCCTCTCTCGTGTGGAGATTTCTAAAACAGACAATGACTTCTTTGTTGGATGAGTGGCCCTACTTGACCAGTTTGGAATATAATTGGTGCGTCGCATGTACCGACTGTTCAGAGGGGCACGTCATGTGTGATAGCCATGGTAAAGTTGCATGCAGGCACGATGATTGTTCGTGCCTTCTTAAAATTCTGCAAGACGGGCAAATGAATAATTGCCCAAAGAGCTTTGGCAATAAAACCACGAATGTTCCAGGACTAGAAAAATGGTTTCCCATCAAAGGTGAGGAAAACCTATCTGTAACTACTAGAAATTTGCATGTTTGCCTGACTTGCATTGCACCAAATACCTCGGTATTTTTCATTTAGGTCGTCTTAGCAATGAATAATTTATTTTGGTTATATAAAACTGTTCCCTAAAAGCAAGTACACAATTAACAGTAGAGTCCCAAATTAAATGTGGATGTCCCATATTTTAATAATGATGTTCGCCATTGGTGGATCAGTACACAACACCCTATAATATATATATTTAACGATAAACAAATCGAATTTGGACGAGTCTGTAGCACAAGGAACAAAGTTACTATATTCTTGATCAGTTTCTTGCTTATCAGGCTTACCTATCGGGAACTTTTTGTTGTATATGGCACTGTCTTAATTCAACAAGGGCAGTAACAACAGATTATTCCTTTTGCTGATGCCTCAGTTACCACGGTTGTCCTTCCAAGACGCCATTGTGAGAGTCGCACCCTCCTCCTCCTTCAAAGTCCAGATACACAGACGGACGAGTGATAAAAGGCGTTACGTTGCAATTGTAGAGGAAACGCTTGTAATGACGCAGTCAAGAATCTGAAATTTTCCTACTTTTGTCGGAAGACAAACTTTATTAAACTTGCTAAAAAATCCTACCACTAGTTATTCTGTTAGGTCATGTTACCCTTCCGCGAAAACTCTGCAATGAAAAGCGACAGGGAAAATTGTAAGTACACCCAAACATTGTTTGACAGCAAGGTGTAAGGCAAAGGGCACAACGCCAGTTATGACAACGCCAGAGGATGAATCCAGGTCCAGAACTTAAGTCAACCACCATGAAGCGTGCCCTGCTTCGTTCCCCTCAGGCTAAATATTCTTACTTTTTTGCCGATTTAAGGCTGAAAGTACTTGTATTATTCTTAGTTTATAGCGTATGATATTTCCCTTTTGGAGTATTATAATTTTAATAAACATTTTTTTTATGTAGATGTTCGCCCAGGTCATCATCCTGGAACAGACTTTGTCTACAAAATGACTGCTCTTCCAAGAGGGATTGCAATGATCATTAATAACGAGTTGTTTGCAGATAATACTAAACATGGCAAACAAACACCACGCCACGGCTCTGAAGAAGATGTCCGTCAAGTAAAAGAAATGTTCAGCGCTCTGGGATTTGAGGTACACATTAGAGAGAATCGTACTAAAACAGAGATGTTGAACGAGGTAGACTTTTTTGCATACGAAAAGGACCACAGTGACTACGATTGTTTTGTGCTCTGGCTCATGAGTCATGGAAGGAGTGGCGAAGTGTTTGGCTCTGATGGTGTTCCATTACCAATCCAGACAATAAAAGACATGCTTTCCAACGCCAGCTGTACAACACTAAGGGGAAAACCAAAGCTCCTTTTTGTCCAAGCATGCAGAGGGGATAAAGAAGACGAAGGGGTTAACCTCGTGACTAATGCATGTGGTTCGCCCTCTGTCCAAATGCCTTCTCCCTGTCCTGATTCGCCGATTGATCAAACGAAAAGTCCTTCACCGGAGAGGATGGCTGGGCAAACAGATTTCCTAACAGCGTACTCAACAGTTGAGGGATACGTGTCATATAGATTTCCTAACCTAGGAAGCAATTTTGTTCGTGCACTTGTGAAAGTTTTCCGAGAACATGTTGCTCACGACCACCTCGTTAACCTCCTGACCAAAGTAATCAAAAGAGTCAGCGACATGGAATCAATAGAAAATGCCCGCAAATTTAAACAAGCACCTCAATTTGAAACCACCCTTGTTAAAGAACTTTGGTTTTAATTATGACAATTAAAACGTGAGTGTGCTTTTGCTTATGACTACTAGCCCTCTGGAAATCCTATTGTTCTCAAACTGCAAGAATATTGCCGAGAATTATGCTACAAAGAGGTAATTCCCTTGTGGCTAGGGTAAATAGAGGCCATCGGGAAACACTTTTCTAAGGCGTTTTAAGCACTGTTAAGTATAGTCTCTTAACAAAGGCCTGTTGTTGTAAGGAGCACAATTCTTGAATTAAGCGATCTCAAGAGAGGATAAAGGGGAAAGAGAAGGCATCCCCCATACACACCCTATTCCATAGGTAATTCGTCTCGAGTTATTTTTAAGACCACAGATTCCAAGGGGGATTAGACAACAGCCAATCACATAGCGCGAATGTGTTCCGCGTGGATGACCCACGCTCAGAGCCACGCGTCCTTCACGAATTGACGCTGAAAAAAATGGCGGAAGACGCGGAGAGCGATATTGCTATTCGTTTTGTCGACGAAAACGACTACAGAGAGATTTCTAAGCGAAACGGAAATTCAAAAAGAATCGCCCTTCCTCTCTTGTATAGAGCTAACAGTAGAGCAGGGAAATCCTTAACACACTGAATATTCTCTCAGGATCATTTGTAATTTACAGTTTGAAGAGAGAAATTTCTGGTTTGATATTTATTTTGTTATTAGTCTTTTATTATTCAACAAAAATAACACCTGCCGTCCTACTTACTTTATTGTACAAACGACCGGTTTCAATAGACTGGCGAAATTTCTCATTTTATTAAAGCACTGAGGTTACGACAACTTCGAGTTAAACTGATTTCACAGGTTGTCAAAGAGTCTAGCAATTCCCTTTTCCCAGGTGAGCGCCGACTCATTTCGCGTCAATATTCAGGAATGCTCTCAATCTCTTTACGCTTTCATTTCCTTTCGCCCGACATGTTTTGCACTGCGTTTAGTCATGCGAAACCTCCACGAAACATCCACGCAGCGCGCGAGGTAACTTCAGATCCCGATTCTAAAAATAACTCGAGAAGAATTACCTATGGAATAGGGTGTGTATGGGGGATGCCTTCTCTGTCCCCTTTATCTTCTCTTGGTGGTCTAGGCTGATGACGTACGCTTTCGTAAATNGGGAAACACTTTTCTAAGGCGTTTTAAGCACTGTTAAGTATAGTCTCTTAACAAAGGCCTGTTGTTGTAAGGAGCACAATTCTTGAATTAAGCGATCTCAAGAGAGGATAAAGGGGAAAGAGAAGGCATCCCCCATACACACCCTATTCCATAGGTAATTCGTCTCGAGTTATTTTTAAGACCACAGATTCCAAGGGGGATTAGACAACAGCCAATCACATAGCGCGAATGTGTTCCGCGTGGATGACCCACGCTCAGAGCCACGCGTCCTTCACGAATTGACGCTGAAAAAAATGGCGGAAGACGCGGAGAGCGATATTGCTATTCGTTTTGTCGACGAAAACGACTACAGAGAGATTTCTAAGCGAAACGGAAATTCAAAAAGAATCGCCCTTCCTCTCTTGTATAGAGCTAACAGTAGAGCAGGGAAATCCTTAACACACTGAATATTCTCTCAGGATCATTTGTAATTTACAGTTTGAAGAGAGAAATTTCTGGTTTGATATTTATTTTGTTATTAGTCTTTTATTATTCAACAAAAATAACACCTGCCGTCCTACTTACTTTATTGTACAAACGACCGGTTTCAATAGACTGGCGAAATTTCTCATTTTATTAAAGCACTGAGGTTACGACAACTTCGAGTTAAACTGATTTCACAGGTTGTCAAAGAGTCTAGCAATTCCCTTTTCCCAGGTGAGCGCCGACTCATTTCGCGTCAATATTCAGGAATGCTCTCAATCTCTTTACGCTTTCATTTCCTTTCGCCCGACATGTTTTGCACTGCGTTTAGTCATGCGAAACCTCCACGAAACATCCACGCAGCGCGCGAGGTAACTTCAGATCCCGATTCTAAAAATAACTCGAGAAGAATTACCTATGGAATAGGGTGTGTATGGGGGATGCCTTCTCTGTCCCCTTTATCTTCTCTTGGTGGTCTAGGCTGATGACGTACGCTTTCGTAAATCTGGGGTCAACCCACTGCACATTGAGAAATTTATATAACGCACTTATTATTAGTAGTAGTATTATCCATTTTTCTAAGAATTCATTTCCACTGAGCGAGTCGAAATAATCAGTGATAAGCTTAAAAAAATGCTTATCACTTTATAAGAGAAGTATTCACTGCCGTCGCCGTTGCTCAAAAACACTGCAGTTAGCACAGATAGCCCAAGAGTACTTTGTGATCAATCGACTTTTAAGGGTTATTAGTTAATATGTATTTCAATTAAACGAATAAAACCAATTAAAACGGCCTTTAGTATGAGGTCTATTTCTTTATCTGTTTATAAAATACAATTCAGATAAATCACGCTCTCTGACTGGTTGAAAAAGAGTGAAGTAATGCGTAGGGAGGTTAATGGATTCTCGATCATAAAACAAAAAAAGAAGCCTTGACTGTGCTCTGTTCTGTTGAAAAGCATTAAGGAAACGAAGCAGGGAGAAACACAAGACTACGTCTCGTGTTTCCCTCGACAATTCTTTCGTGCTCAAGCCGCTTCCTGAGTGCTTTTCAACAGAACAAAGCACAGATTTAACCCTTTAAGCCTTAAGAGTGATCAGCATCAAAGTTCTCCTTGTAATATCAATGCTTCGTAAAACAGAGTGGTCATGAGAATTACTGACATGATCACACAAGATAAATTTGCTTGATATTTTATCAAATTCTCCCACTACATCTGTAGGAATAAATAGGGGGCAACAATGAGAATTCAAATTTTGATCTTAGGGTTTAAAGGGCTAAGACTGTCTACACTATACCGGATGACTCTTGTGCCGTCAAGACAACCAGTGTAGGCGAGCAAAAATGACATTCGGAGTAAATTACTGATTGCAACATTGAAAACCACAAACTCGGACAACCAAAATTAAAATGTCTTATCTACTCGAATAAGCGCTTCGATAAAGAGCCATTATGGCTCTTGCTTCGATTAAGTGTAGCCTTCGAATAAGCGCCGCATATGGGACAAATATTAGTTTATAAGCTATGCACCTGAATATGCGCCGCGACCTGGTCCCGTTTTAAAATTCTGTAAGTTTAATACGGCTACTTATAATACCTAGTAAAAACAATTATTTTTCCCGTCCAACTTTCAAATAATCGCCGCCCTCCAATTAGTGCCGAATTTTGGGTGTGAAAAAAAAATAATTAGCGCCGGGGCGCTTATTCGAGTTCAGTAAGGTAAAAAGCAAAAGAAAAACAGACTGAAATGGCAGCATCTCTAAAGATATGAACTTGTAGGATTCAATCACTAGTTTAACAGCGGCATCTACAACTGGGATGCCAAGTCAAAATAGGAAAAAAACTATTCAATTAACGGTTTTTTATCCTCATTGACGCCACTAAATTGTTATTCTGACTAAACCCAGAAAATAACAAAACAAAACAAAAAAGAAAGAAAACACCAGAACGAGCAAGCGCCCACTATTGTTTGCCTTTTCTGCCAATTTATTAATGGACTTTTTTTCACATTTGAGCTACAAAGTCGCTAAAAAGATAGAAAATCTATTGTGCTATTTCAGCAACAAACACATGCACCCATCGGGGCCCTATTTTTCCGCAAGGAGAAAGGAGGCCGCGCACTGTAGACGTTTTGGGGCACTGGAAACTAACACTCTTTCAAAGATGGCGCGCGGAAGGCATGGTTGTTTTTCTACCGTTTTTCATCTACTTTGCAAGGTTAGTAGCGATTATAGGTAAATCAGACAGTAAGACTCGTATTATTTATCTTTTAAAACAGTTTTAGGATTGCTTGTGGAAATGTTTTACTCTGCATTTGGTAAGATCTTAACCCTCACCCTCGAAGCTCATGTGCTTTAAATATTATTGCTTATCAGGCTTATGCACAACTCTTTCAATAGTTCAATCTCACCCCTCGGGGAGTTTTCAACGCTTTGATTTTTAAGGGCAAACCGGTGCGTTTCCAACAGCGCATGAAGGGTTTATTTGCGAATTAGCCCTTTCTTAAAGTCTTATTAAAAGTGCAATGTAGCAAATTGTTTATTTGTATGCTTAGTAGCCAGGCCTTTGACTTGGGAGTGGGTGAAAGTTTGAGATTTTTGGAGATGAAGTTGATCATAAGAACTAGAAGGGATCAAGATCCGTTTTCAGATTTAGTGTGCGATTGCAAAATCCAAAATGATGGTTTCAAAATCGAAATCCGGATTTCCCAGTCTAACGCAACCCTAGAGTTTGTGCCTGAAGAAGCAAGATTGCTGATTGCTGATGAAGATGATCAATTTTTTTTTCAGATCAGATGGGTCCTGCACATATGTCAAGACTTTAACAGCCAGGATTTTGAGCTTATTATCTTTGGCAATGTAAGTGCTGTACAGTGGCGGATCCAGGGCAGATCTCAGGGTCTGGATGACTGCCCTCCCTCCCCCCCCCGCTAAATCTGAAGGTCTGGGGCTGGATCTGCCACTGCGGGATGTATTGCTATGTGTCAAGCGCCTGGGTGAACCAGCTAAACTAAACTGCTGGTACAGCTTGGTCAAAGTAAAGTTGAAGCGTGGCGTCATGAGATTTTTTGGGGGTGGCCTTTGTCAAATTTAATCTATCTTAAAAACAAAAGATACACTAGTGAAGGAAAAAATATTCAACGACGTTCTCAGATTTAAAGGAAGAATATAAAACATTTTTGTTAATTGCTCAATTTTTTGTGTATATAATTATCTTAAGTTAAACAAACGTTTCTTCTGATCTTTTCATGCAAGACAGCTAAAATCTCTTGGACTGTCTGAGGCCAAAGGAGTACATTTTTTAAATTAGATTCAGATTCATTAAGGAATTAATTATATTTAGGTTCAAATAATAATATGCTGTTAAAATTAAGTCTTTAAAGTTTTTCTGACGAATAGCCAAATTTTTTTTTTGCTGGAGTAGCA